TGATTTAGAATATGATTTCTATTTACATTTTGAAGTATTTTATATCTCTTGTCACTTGTAAGTATACACAATTTGTTTCTTAGTGGTTTATGTAATGATTTAGTTTCTTTATGTACATGTTGTTTTGTGTTATCATTAATTTCTAAAACAATTTCTGGTGTTCTTTTGTCTTTCAATTGCTTTTCTAAACTCTCTATATTTGTGCATAGATTTCTTACTTCTTCTTGAGCTAATTCCAGGTCTTGTTGTAATTTTGTTATTTTATTTTCCAAAACAAATATTTGCTCTGTATTTTTTTTATCTGGAGAACTTGAGGACAAACTTGAGAATAAACTCCTGCGCTGTTTTTTTGCCGTTTGTGGGGTTTTACAAATGTTTTTTAGAATAAGCAGCTCCTTTGTCAGTTTAGTGACTTGTCGCCTTAATTCATTGTTTTCTAAAATTGTATCGTCTAATTCAGTTTCACAACTCTTTAATTTAATTTGTAAGTTATCTATTTTAATTTTTTGTTTGCTTACAATATCAAGTTCATTTACTAATTCTAATTCTAAGCTGTGTGATAAGTCTTCTAAGGATTGGAAACTATTGTTAACTGATTCAACAGGCAATTCCATGGATAGTGATTTTGCTAATAATTTTTCTGTAGGTAAATCTTTTGTAATGTATTCAAATATGTCAAAATAACAGCTTAATAACAATGCAATATAACAATGTTATATGACATTGTCGTATGACATTGTCGTTTGTCGTTATATATCACGTTTTATAACATTCTGCCTCCACATTACTGAAACATTTTATATAACAACGTTTTATAACATGTTATGTTATATAATGTGTACACACCGTTACAAAAACACAATTTTTAAAATTTTTGTTTATCTGTCTATCTGTTTGTTCCGGCTAATCTCCGAAACGGCTAGACCGAATTCGATGGAACTTTCACTGGCAGACAGTGATGTTATACGGAGTACATTAGGCTACTTTAATTTTAGAAAAAGAATAAGTGTTCCCGGCAGCGACACGCCTGTCCACATCTAAATCACATCTTCCATCCCGGCTAAAAGCACTCCCCAAGTATACAATTTCATTTACTTGTTCTAGACATTCCTGATTTACCCATATTTCACACTTCGTTCTCTCTTCGTCCCTTTCAAATCTGTTTGTAATGTCAAAATAACAGCTTAATAACAATGCAATATAACAATGTTATATGACATTGTCGTATGACATTGTCGTTTGTCGTTATATATCACGTTATATAACATTCTGCCTCCACATTACTGAAACATTTTATATAACAACGTTTTATAACATGTTATGTTATATAATGTGTACACACCGTTACAAAAACACAATTTTTAAAATTTTTGTTTATCTGTCTATCTGTTTGTTCCGGCTAATCTCCGAAACGGCTAGACCGAATTCGATGGAACTTTCACTGGCAGACAGTGATGTTATACGGAGTACATTAGGCTACTTTAATTTTAGAAAAAGAATAAGTGTTCCACGCATGTAAAATAAAAACCTTAATTACACGTGGACGAAGTCGCGAGGAACAATAAAAATCGCAAACTCTCAATCACACTTTCTATTTGTCTAATGTAAAGAAGAAATAACAAAGAAAAAACTAATTATAGGACCTCAAGCAATTAATATTCCAAAACAAACGGTAGCCGGGCTATCTATGACATCAGGACGTCAAATACATTAGCTCCTTCTTGAGCATGGGTGCCGGGTAAAGCAGAATCTGAACCAAATCGGGAATTATACGATAATATAAACGCAATTGAATCCGCAAAATTAATAAAAATAAGGAAATAAGAAATCAGCTTCGCACCCATGCAGACCTCATGTCTTTTATCGACGAAGACGCTTATCCCGTACGTTGATTGTATCAAACTTTTCCCATTTTCACTTTTGTTTTGGTAAGATATATATTAAGTTCACGAGATAATTACATAAATCCGACTTTCATACCTGTTTTATAAAGCATAACTAATGAAAAGGAAATATTTATGTGTGCGAATTAAGAAATATATCAAGGACATGTGATTAAGCAAATTATACTAAACAATGGTTATAGAATTTTATTATTTTCCCCCTTTTATTCAATACTAGCTTTTTACCCGCGACTTCGCTCGCGTGCGCATGAATTAGGAACGTCATTAAATGCTGTTCCGTGTCAAATTTAGCAAAATTCGATTACTTTCAGAGTCCCCTCGGTGTCTGTATCTTAATGTCTGTCGAAGCTATTTTATGAATTCTAAAATACTATTAGATGTAGGTGATTGATATTTGACAAAGATATAATATACCACAGGAACACGTGAATATATAATATCTCTAGAAATACCTGCTATTTTTTAAATCGCGCGTGTCTTCCGTGTAAATATATCCATAAGAAAGGTAAATTTTCTTGGAATCAAAATTTTATAATTATCACTCACATTTTACTCTTTAAATTTATTTATAATTAAAATTAATTTAGTTTTAACAAAATAATGATGAATTTCATGATCTTATATCAATTTACGGTACAATATTTATATGAGATATTTCATTCATATCTTTGATCCTATTTAATATTGATTGGCACCATAAAATAGGTGTAGATATTTGTTTTACGTCCGAGTAGACTTTGCATAAACGCAGTTTTATAATGACGTATACTAGACATGGAATAAAACTAATGTTACGGATTTTATCACGTTTAATTTTAACTTTTTAACGTTGGGTTTTTTACGCATTTTTGGCTGAAAGTTCCATAAAAACCTTCGTAAAAGACCATATCGTTGATATGAAGCACCGACGCTCCAAAAAGTTTAAAGTAGGTATGTCAACATGTTTAGTATCGTCCCAACCATTATATCAGTTCTGATAGACAACAAACCCTTATAATAAAACATCGATTCCTACCAATGATGATTCGCGAGGCTATTGAAATTAAAAATACATCCTAATTTTAATAGGGAAGATGCCTGAGTGCTACCATCTGCTAAGGCCTCCATAATTAAGAAAATAATATTCAAAGCCAAGCCTAGTACTGCATTTATTCAATTCTATACTATTCTTATTCTATTCTATTCTAACTATGACATCAGGTCGTCAAACATCTCAGTCCTACCGTGACTATGGGTGCTATAAAGTGCCCAAAACATAGGGAATTGAAAAGGTAAAATTACACGCGATAAAATCCTTAGAATTAGTTTTATTTCTTATAAATTTTATTCACAGTGAACGTGGGTAGCACTTCTCTCATGAACGGGAGTAGAAAAATGTTTGCCTTGTTGTGGCGGTGAAAAAGAATCCGCTACCTCTATCGTCCCGTAGTAAGAGGCAACATAGGAAAAAAACAGGAGATGGGATGGGCAGCATCATCTTCCTGACAACAGATCAAAATAATAATACCTGAGTAGGTGTGAATTGGGGTTTCTGCGTCACATTGCTCTCGCATTCGCTCGAGCTACATGCCGCTGAAGACCGCAATTCTCTTCAGAGAGGTACAACATTTTTAGTTTAACCAAATTAACGTCTACATACTCACAGTTTTATCCTGCGGGAACAAGTGTACTTCCAGTTCCAGTTGAGTTATTGAGCATTATATTCAGAGCGTTTGCGAAATACTCATGGTATTGCCGCATCTATATGATTAATTTCTAATAATACAACTTGTGTAGCCTAATTTCATTGTGGTTAGTGCTAATAAACGTTTTTAAGCTATTGCATAGCTTTTATCGAGGGCTTTGAGTGCGGCTACCGAATCAAGAAATTCCGTAACGAAAAAAAAAACCTAAGACCCAAAACCTAACATCGTAAATCCATTACAATAAAGATATTAATTAATTTGCATCCATCCGCTAATTAAATAAAACGATGTGTCTTACCTGGATTGAAGAGCGTCTCCCACCCTCCCTCAATTGTTTCATTATTGTTTTATTCTCATAGCGAGTGCTCGTTTATTACAACGCTCGTCAAATATCATCTATATTGGTGAGTTTAATTATTTTTTTACTATTTAGAAATTCAGCCGCCATAACCTATTTTTTTGACTTCATACTTGTTTTTGTTAATTGCAGATCATGAGCAACACTGAGGAACACAATGATTCTAATCCTATCACTAATCCGTATTACTATGCACAGGATGTGGATAAATTTACACTAAATTATTACAACCGAAAGGAGCAGCTTCACGATTTACCACCAAATAGAATAGCTATTAATGAAGAGCGGCAATCGAAATCATCATACATTATCCGCCAAGATAAAGATAAACAAGGTCATCGTCTGATTAAAATCAGCATTTGCGAACTTAACGAGCAAGAAGAAAATGTCATCGCCGATCATAGTGCTAACATAAGTGTTCAATATGTTGTGGATTCAATGTATGATGAAGTGTGAAGTGAAAAATTATGTGAGAACTAGTATTTAATTAATGTAGCTTGTAAAATATATTAAAGTTATACATTGAATTTTATTTTTGTTTTATTATGTATCATTATTATGCAATTGTGTAGAGCAAAAAAGAAAAAGACATTTTTCTTTTTTGCTCTACACAATTGCTCTACACAACTGTTACAACGAAAGTATTTATTAAAAATAATATTTATTTATTTTAAATTAATATGAAGTTATAAACATGATAATACATGTAACTTAAGCTATAAATTTATCTCTTACTTACTTATACAGTACATAGTAGTAGCATTACATAGTTTTACATTCAAATTTATTAAAATATAGTTTTATAGTGTCCCCACGGTAACTTATTGTAGCCATCTGCCATAATTTTCTTTTATCATTATCTCTATTTAGTAAAAGTTTATCAAATTTTTGAGTAAATATTTGATGATTCTTTGATCTAATTATATACATACTCTTTCTAAACTTTTCATTAGACCATAACGCTGGTTTATATTTTTCAATATTAAGATTTTTAGTAACAGATTTTTTAATACCCTTAGCTTTTCTTACTGAGGTTGTTTTAGAATCAGTACATTATAATTTTGCTCTTAATCCAACAAATTCAGTTATTATATCACCATCCATTTCGTCTTTGAATAACCCTGGAATTTTGTAATTTACTTTGGGTATATCATACTGATTGTTTTTGAAATTACTTGTATCAAAATATTTTTTATTTTTTTTCATGTCTTCATAAAAATCATTTGTATTTAGTAGATACAGCAGACTATCAGTATCAGTATAACAAAGTTGCAGTGAATTTTTATACATGCGTTTCATTATAGAGTAATGAAAATGATATAAATGACTCTTAGCTAAATCCAGAATTGAAAACCCAATGTAAATTGGCCGATCAAGGATAACTTTTGTTAGTTCTAACTGGATTGCTACTAACAAATCTGAAATTATTGACAAATTTTTAAAATTACGAGCACTTACATATTTTTCAGTTTCACATAGTTTATTAGTCTTATTGGATGTATTTTTCCATACATTAACCAATTTTACATCGACTTGTTTTCGTTTATTCTCTATTGTCTTTCCAAAAATAGAATTATTTTGTTTTTTAAAAAATCTCTTTCAAAGTCTGAAGTAGCGTTTTGTCTAAGTGTTGTATTAATTAAAATATATGGTGCTAAAAATGATTTTTGACTAAATAACAATATCCTATAAATTTTGAGCAAAATGAGTCCATGACGTAAACATTCTTTTATATGCTCATAATGAATAACATATTTACATTTATCGTACAAACTAGCTATTCATTTTTTATGTTTGAGCAAACTTTTCTGCTGCAAATGGTAAATCTGAATGATCATCATGTATTTCAATGGGGTAGTGCAATTCTACTTCAAGAATATATCCAATATCACTATCATCAGGAACATTCATTACATCAAACTGATAAATTTTTTTCACTTAGGAATTTAAAGTTCCCCCATTGGTAACTTTTGCATCATAGCAAAACCATATAAATTTACACAATCAAGATAAATTAAAAAATTGTTTTTATACTTGCTGTTATAATAGGACATGTATTTATTGTTTGCTTTTGCATATCTTAAAGAACATTGAGTAAGACCACCGCGAATTCCTTTCTCTAAAAATTGGTACATTTCAATATCTGAAAGTAAATCTAATAGTATGTTCGTATGAAACAACATAGCATCCCAACTTAATGATGGGGATGAGACATAGTGACATGAGTCAAGACTGTAATGTTTTAAACTCATAGCTCGGAATTTTTCAAAAACATCACACAACAGTAATACATCACATTTTAAATATAAATCGGTGTGTTCACCTAAGTTACGGATTTTAAAATCATTCCATACCTTCAATGCATGACTGTAATCTTCATCCGAAACAGATTGAGATGTAATGTGATTGAAAAATTTCGATTGCTCTGGTAATTGATTTTCTTCATACCGATCCCATGAATCTATATAGTCATAACAGTAGATACCTTTCTTTCGGACTAAATTAAATAAATATTTATGTTCAAAAAACTTGCATAAATTTTTAAAATCTTTCGCTTCCATCGTTTTCCCTAAATTATCTAAGCTCGAGCTCAAAAAGTTGAAAGAGTCAATAAATTTCAACTGAGCTGAGTTCTTCTTATTATTATTAATTTCTATTGGAATTGACTTAGTAAATGAAATAAGGTTTTCTTTATTTCGGGGTATTAGATTTATACGACCGCCAATGGCGGAAAGTTCCTTTATAAATAAATGACAATCATAATCAGAAAGGTTCTGAAATATTATAGGTATGAATGAGCATGTCTGAGCTTTTAAATTACATTCGTTATGAGCAGGTCCTCTGTATTTTCCAGTAAAGTGATCATGATGCGAATATCAAAGTCACTCACCATGCTATGCTTAGAGATTTTCTGTCTGATAAAATACATAACGAGGTTTTCCGCAAAAGAACAAGGGATTGACTAACATTACCGTATGGGTTCAATAGTTACAGGTTCATACTGTCTAGCGTAGTGTTTGTCGACCTATATATGAAGTGATATTCCGATGAAGGATACATAGAATCAATGGATGCAGGTAATTCAGGAGTGTGCTTTGAGTGCTTGCTATGCGAAAAGTCTATTATAAGCCGCAGACTAATCTGCCACGAAGAGTCAACTGTCGAAGCTGTAGACCGAGTGTGGCGGCGTCGTTTCCGGGACATCTGAGGTTTTGAGTGAGATTGAGAGATTCTATGGGCAGCTGTACACATCATCGTTTGAGCCATACACAAGTGTGAGTAACGATCCAAGAGCAAGTATTATCCGACACTATTCCAATGATATTCCGGACGTCAGACTGAGCGAGATTAAAATTTCTCTTCAGCACTTCAAAAACGGCAATGCCTCAAGCGAGGACGGAATTACAGCGAAGCTTCTGAAAGCGGATGGAAAACCGGTACTGGAAGTCCTTCATAAGCTCTTTAATTCTATCCTCCACGGTGGCACTACACCGGAGCCGTGGAGCAGAAGTGCGGTGGTTTTATTCTTCAAGAATAGTAACAATGTTCTTTTGAAGAACTACAGACCGATATACTTTCTAAGCCGCGTCTACGTGCTGTTTTCGAAAGTCATTACGAATGGTCCGTAAGACCTGATGACTTGCAGCCCCCCGAATAAGCCGGTTTTCTAAAAGGCTTTAGCACAATAGAGCACATACATACGCATCGGCAAATTGTATAAAAGTTCGAGAAGTACAATATGCCACTAGTTCTGGCGCATATTGACTATGAGAAAGCCTATGATTCTGTAAAAATTTAGGCTGTGCTGTGCAGAGCCAAGTTGACTGTCAGTATATCGAAGTGCTGAAATATTTGTACAGTAGGGCTACGATGGCTATACGAGTTCAGAACCAAAGTACGATACCTATCCAACTGCAGAAAGGTATAAGACAGGGTGACGAAATATCCCCGAAACTCGTTACCGCTGCATCGGAAAATGTTTTTAAGCTACTAGACTGGAAAGGATACGGTATTAACATCGATGGCGAGTACATCACTCACCTTCGATTTGCCGACGATCTAGTGCTTATGGCAGAATTACTGGAGGAACTAATCACTATGCACAATAACCTCAATAGTGCTTCCCAACGGATATGTCTTAAGATGAACGTGGACAAAACAAAGATCATGTATAACGTCCATGTAAAACATATCCCGGTAGTTGTTGGAAGCACTAAACCCGAAGTTGTTGACGAGTATGTTTAACTGGGACAAATAGTCTGACTATGTATGTCCAACTTCAACCGAGAGGTCAATTGATGAATTCAACACGGCTGGGCAGCGTTCGGGAAATTACGGCACATCTTCTCGTCAGGTATACCCCAAAACTTGAAAACGTGACTGTTCAACCAGTGCGTGTTGCTAGTGATGACCTATGGAACTGAGACGTGATCCTTCACTGCTGTCTAGATGAGGAAGCTCAAGGTCGCCAAGCGAGCTATGGATAGGGCTGCGCTCGGAGTTTCTCTGCGTGATAAACATAGAAATAAGGATAGCGGCAGTAGAACCAGAGTGACCGACATATCCCAACGGACTGGTAAGCTGAAGTGGCAATGGTTCGGCCATATAGCTCGAAGAACCGACAACCGTTAGGGAAAAAAGGTTCTCTAGTGGCAGCCTCGTACCAACGGACGAAGTGTAGGGGGTCCCCCCACTAGATGGAGTGACAACCTGATAAGACATGCAGGAAGTCGATGGATGCAGGTGGCTCAGGACCGTGCTTTGTGGCATTCTTTGGGGGAGACCTAAGATCAGAAGTGGACTTGTGAAGGGCTGTCATTATGATGGGAGGCGATACGTATTTGTCATTACAAATATAATTCCTCCTTCCCTAAGTTTTCTTTATGCAGGCTTTAACTTCTATATTTGTGTTATGGTTTAGGTTCATTAACCATTTATTTATAATCCGTTTTCAACTTATTTAAATATCACAAGCGTGTGTTTCGTTTGCGTTTTTATTTTGTACCTACGGGGCATTTGAAAAAGAAAGGTATAATAATCCTGGGAATAAGTTTCTTATTTAATACGTATTTTGTTTGTATAAAATGTAAGTAGAATTTCTTTGGTTATACTGTTTGTATCTGGCTGTTTTTAATATCAATATTTAATATAATATCTACAATATTTTATAAAAGCATTTTAAAGTCTGCAGTCTTAGAATTTGGGAATTAAATCCTAGTACATTTCTACGACGAGAAGGCAAATTAGGAGTAATTAATTTTCAATGATAACTAATTGGGATGCGAAAATTAAATAAGCTTAGAAATATAGAGCAATCTAAAGTTAGTTCCTAATATTTTATAATAGGTTATCTATGAAATTGCCGTTCTGAAGTACAGGCCATTTGAAATCAAAATAATTTTTGTTTGGCTAAGAATTCTAATTTAAAATTAATTTTATTTAAAAAAAAAGGATTTTTTTTTTAAATAGACAAACGTGGTGTTCTATTCATGGTAGAGCCATGCTGCAGCTATATTACTGGTATAGTTGAAGCACGAATGGATCGGCTAGACCGGAGAAGAACCACGCTCTTACAGAATACCAGCGTAAAATAGCAGCTTAATATTTCTGTGTTTCGTATGCTGAGTGTAGAGAACCGGAAACCCTTTTTATTGAAAAAGAGGCATTCCATCTTTGTATTCACGGGTGACAACGCGTCTGCATTTTGATTCTTTATTAAAGATATATCTCTATGGCTTACAGCAACTATTTACCATTAGGTGGATTGTGTGCCTGTTTGTCACTATATCCTATGAAAAAAAAGAAAACATAAACCCAAGAATGTCTGTGTGTAGCACTCAGGAAAGCGCCTATTTTATTTTTATTTTGCCAACGTCATAGCCTTACCTAAAAATTTATGAAAAAAAAATTAATTAAGAAATAAGTACAAAAATGTTTATTTCCTGTAAATTTTTTTTCTTAATTTAGTTAATTTTTGTCATTTGATCGTTTGTTTTTTTGACGTTTGCAATTTTAAATAAACAAATAATTAACAAAATCCAAATTAAGAAACCCACTTGTCACAAATATCCATTATATTTTGTTTAGTACACACTTTTTTTACGAGTAAAGATTTAAAAACGTACACCTAACTTAACATAAAGTCGTGTTGACCAGAGCATCATATATATACACACATATATATATATCTATCTATCTATCTATATATATATATATATATATATATATATATATATATATATATATATAGGTGTGGATGGTATCGGGAGTTCTGCCGCGATGTGCGTTCGTGAAATTTG